TATGTATGTATGTACGTATTTGTGTATGTGTGTATGTATATATGCATGTATGTATGCATGTCAGTATGTATGTATGGATGGATAGACTGAAGTCTGAAGTATGTATTGATGTATGTATGCATGTGATTATGTAATTGCATGTCTATATACCTAGATGTATCTGTGTACATGCGTGCACACGCACATACAGGCGACTTATTTATCTTGTTTCAATGCTTACCTACATGACGAGAAGCAGTATTTGTTGCGTTCACTGTGTGCATAGACAGTGAGCAAACACTCTTGCTGCTCTTGCCATGAACCGAATGAAGAGGATGGCTGGGATGAGGACTGGGACAGCTTCCTGGCATCCTGTTTACGCATGCCTGGTTTAGGTTAGGCGTGAAGGGTCGTCGTGCACCGCAACAATCTAAAAGCGACGGAGACACATGTATGCACCTGTGGCAGGTAACCTCAAACTTGGTCACACATGCCTACACACAGCCACACGCATGAGCACAGACACGTTGTTTCGTTGTTTCTTGGAACAGGTATGTTAAGTACGTGTATATTGTACGAACTCAGCTGTTGGTTTATCAACTGGATGAGATGCTCTATAGATGCACGAAGAAGCGAAGAAGCAGTTAGCAACAACCTGCGCTGTTCAGAGCTACTACATTGTTTTACTACACAATCCGAATATACCCAGCCCGGTACACCCCCAATCACCATTAGCATGTCGACAAAAAATATGCCAAACGTCGCAACAAGATCCATACTCCCTTTCTTGCTCTGTACAGTCTGCAAACATCTGTCGCACTGGGCCTACGATCTACACATAGGCTCGAATGACGAACTTCATGGTCCTTCTCCACAACTTTCGACAGCACTCACACGTCCCGACACGGCTGGGACGCCGCTGCTCTACATCCGGGGACACCAGAGCCAAACAGGCAGCTCCCACTGGAGCACCAAAGACCTGGACCTTGCATATGGGTAGTTCTCTAAATTAGGGTCCCTTTTTAGGTGCCCAATATAGTACGGCGCCCTTATAAAAAGGACCCTAAAAGGGGCCCTAATTTAGAGAATTACCCAGTGTAGGGCCGTGCATGAACCTTCGAGCCATCTGCCCTAGGAGTCCAAGTGCAGGTAAGAAAAGACGACTCCCCAACGGTGCTAAACGCTGCGTCCTTGCGGCTGAAGTACGTAGTTGAACCCTGGGGGTTTTGACCATCGGGAAGGAAAGCAGGATTTGGCAGGGACAAGTCTGCGGCGGGTTCAGGCTTCTTTCACTTCACGCGCTGCCCGAGCTTTTCCAACTCATTGAACATCCCCTCCGGCTGACAAGACATGGTTGAAACCATCTTTCGCAGACCTCATTATGTAACCTTTGGTGTCGGGGGGGCCCTAAACCCTAAACCGTAGAGTTCTTACGTCCACAAGAGCTTAGGGCCGCCAACAGCAGGTTATGAATCAATCGCCTAAGCTTGGGTCGTAAAGGCCTGAAGCGAAGCCTGACCGCCCGTGTCTTACGAAAAAGGGTTTAGTGTTTATCTTGCAGACTCTAATGTACCAAACTGCTAGAAGTTCTTCATATTCCTTCATCAGATCAGCCGAGTTTCGGCATTTGCACTCTTGTTTCTACGCTCACGTGTATAAACAGCACGGAAGCATGTGATGGGACCTTCCAAAGCTGCTCAGTCCTTGCTCAGCTCAAAAAATTTTATTCCTCTACAATACCCTTCCAAAGCCCCTGTTACTAAGTGGCACTGTGGGAAAATGTTTAGCGTGAGTTTCCTATAAAATACTACTATCTATTCGTAAATCTTTTTGGGCACCCGTAAATAACACCCCAGTTATAGAAAGGGCCGCATTTGCAGAAATACGCTCTCGTTTAGAAACACAAAATAAACTCCACAGTACCCTTCTCAAACTTCTGCGGGGCAGAACCCCAGAACAGCTTGTACAGCCCTTGACAAGTTCTACAGAACGCTTACGCAACCCTACCAAGGAATCCTGAACTCTACGTACTTACTGCAAACCCCGAAATCCGAACCCTTAAGTCGCGAGATCCTAGTCCCTGCATCCTAATCCCGAAACCCCAAGCCCTAATCCAAACCCGAAGCCCTAAACCCTAAACCCATAAACCCTAAATCCTAAACCCCTCAACCCTAATTCCGAAACCATGCATGATTTTTGTGCGCATGAAAATCATGCATAGCCCTAGAGCCTTCCCATAGGCCCCATGGTAGTTCCTTTTAGGGGTTTATATTTAGAACCCTATAAGGTAATCCCAAAAAAAGGAACTACTATGGGGCTTTTGGGTTAGTTCAACATCCCCAGAGGTTGGAATTGGGATCCCACCTGGTATCCCAAATCCTAAACCCTAAACCCTAAACCCCTAAACCCCTAACCGCTAAAGCCCTACACCCTAAACATCCCTAATCCCTAAACCCTAAACCCTAAACCCTAAACCCCTAATCCCGAAACCCCTAGCCCTATCCCCCAGAGGTTGGAATTGGGATCCCTCCTGGGATCCTGCTTCCTGGGATCCTTCTGCCTGGGACCCCTCGTGGGACCCCTGGAGCCTTAGATAGCCAATGGGAGAACTTTTAACTTTGTGGCTTTATATGTTCTTTAAACTTTTTGGCTTTATATGTTCTTTAAGCTTTTTGGCTTTATATGTTCGGTCTATCCTACAAAAGTTTGAACTTTTTTGGGCCTGGTTGTTGAAGAAGAGAGGAGCTGGGACCCGGCTTGGGGCGACGGCTGGGGCTCCCTGGACGGTTTAGGGTTTAGGTTTAGGGTTTAGGGTTTAGGGTTTAGGGTTTAGGGTTTAGGGTTTAGGTTTAGGGTTTAGGGTTTGGGGTTGAGGGTTAGTGGAGGTAAGGGGGTAAAAATTTTTACCCGATAAATCTTATAAGCCACAAACCCCTAGATCTCCAAAACCCCTAAACCCCCAAAGCCCCCAAAACCCTCAA